ATCGAAAATATTTATGTAATATTATTTATTAAAATTAATTATTATAATTGATGAATTATAATGTTATATAGATATTGAAATTGAGATTTAACAAAGATCATAGGGTAGCAGAAGTTCGAAAACTCCTAAACTCGTCAAAACCGGTAAGAATAGCAATAGTTCAGAGGCCAGATGTAAGTGATCATGAATTTATAGAAGAACAGGAGAAACATTTACATGCACTATGCACAAGAACAATGGCACTTCCAGTAGCTAGAGGCATGTTTACACTCAGAACTTCAACTCCTATTATTACAGAACAATTACCAATTCCACGACTTTGTTTAACTGGTATGAAAAAATAATAATATTCACATTATTAAATTTTTTTTAAAATCATAAAATGTTATTATATGTGTAGGAAAAGCACCTCCTCGTGGAACAACTGTAGAGCTAGCTCATATAGATGTTCCACCAAATATGAATTTATGGCCATTATTTCATAATGGTGTAGCTGCAGGTCTTCGTATTCATCCAGATGCATCTAATATTGATTCAACATGGATAGTATATAATAAGCAACAACAAGGCGAATTTGGTATTGAACATTCAGGATTCTTAATGGCTCTTGGTTTAAATGGTCACCTAAAAAATTTAGCGCCTTTTAGTATGTATGAATATCTAGTCGAATGTCATGAGGCTACCAGTGTTGGACTTCTGTTAGGATTATCAGCAACCCATCGTGGTACAATGAATGTTTCTATGACTAAATTATTATCTCTTCATGTAGAAACTCTATTACCTCCAACAAGTATCGAATTAAACGTTCAACAGAATGTTCAAGTTGCAGCATTAATGGGAGTCGGTTTAGTATATCAAGGAACTGCTCATAGACATATTTCATATGCTTTATTATCAGAGATTGGTAACTATTTAATATAGAATTATAATTTTTATTTATATGTGATTTTATTAAATTAATTAAATTATTTAAAGGCAGACCTCCAGGACCGGAAATGAAAAACTGTATAGATCGAGAATCTTATTCTTTAGCAGCAGGTCTTGCATTAGGTTTAGTAGTATTAGGATGTGGAAGTGGATCAGATTTAGCTAATATACCAGATACTTTACATTATTATATGGTCGGAGGATATGTTAGACCTTTTACTGGAGCACAAAAAGATAAATATAAATCGCCTAGGTGTGTGTGTGTGCACGCGCGCGTGCGTGTATGTGTGTATTCATGTTATAATAGAAATTATATATTTAAATTCTTTTTATATTTTTTCCTTTTTTTATTATTTTAGTTACCAAATAAGAGAAGGTGACTCTATAAATATTGATGTAACAAGTCCTGGAGCAACTATAGCTTTAGGTCTTATGTATTTTAATACAGGCAATAGAGCAGTAGCAGAATGGATGCAAGCTCCTGATACTCAATATTTATTAGATTTTGTACGACCTGATTTCTTATTATTAAGAATATTAGCAAAATCACTTATTCTCTGGAATGAAATTGAACCAACAAAATCCTGGGTTTCTAGTCACGTTCCTAATATTGTTTATAAATATAGATTACAAAAACCAACTTCAGAAATAGGACAGAATGTTGATTTGGAAACTATGAAGTAAGTATTTGAAATATGTATGCATATAATAAAATATATATAAATATGTATGAATATTGTTATAACATTTTTTTATACTAATTGTACTAATTATTATTAATTAAAATACAGTCAAGCTTATTGCAATATAATTGCGGGTGCCTGTATGGCTTTGGGTTTAAAATTTGCTGGATCTGCCAATAGAAATGCTTTTAAAACTTTATATAATTATACCCAAATGTTTACAACATTATCACATAAAACTATTGCTGAATTAGCAGGAAAATCAACTATTGAAACTTGTTTAAATGTTACTTTACTTTCTGCTGCAATTGTAATGGCGGGAACTGGAAACTTAGAAGTAAATTTAATATATAATTATTTAATATTTTTATGTATATTATTTACTAATTTATTTATATTAAATTTTAGATCATGAGGATATGTCGACACATACGAACACGAGTAGGACCTGCAAGTAATGTTGTTACATATGGGTCTCATTTAGCAACACATATGGCTCTTGGTTTTCTCTTTCTTGGAGGAGGCAAATATACTCTTTCTAACAGTCCTAGTGCAATAGCTGCGCTTATAATTTCTCTTTTTCCAAAATTTCCAACACATAGTAATGATAATAGGTTAATATCAGTATAATATACTTATTAAAATTGATTTATTATCTTAAAAAATATTTTTATTATCAGATATCATTTACAAGCATTGCGACATTTATACGTACTTGCTGCCGAACCACGTGTAATTTTACCTAAAGATATTGATAGTAGTCAATATTGTTATGCAACAGTACAATTAACATTTGAATCAGAAAAAGATGCTGAAGGACAAGATTTAATACTTCAGGCACCATGTTTATTGCCACAATTATGTAATATTAAGAAAATTGAACTAAAAGATGATAGATATTGGGAAATTATTTTTGAAAAAGATAATAATTGGCAACAGCTTGAAAATATGCTTAAAAAATGTGAAATGTTAGGTGTTAAGCAAAGAGCTGGTTGTTTACCATATATAGAAGATCCACATGTAATTATAATTTAGTTTTTTTATATAAAATTAAAATGCATTGAAATTTAATATTTTTTAACAATATATTTATAAATTTATAAATATATTTTATAAATATTTCAGGGTTTTAGAAGTTTAATCGCTCAAACATTAACAACAGAAAATGTTATTGCATGGGCTGCTCGTCCTGAATGTGTAACTTCATTTACAAATAATAAAACTATTTTAAATATAGTAAAATGTTTCTTACAATTGCCTAAAAAAAATAAAATTAAAAATGAGATTATCATAAAGATACAATCTTCTGGTAGCTCAGTTAAAAATACTTCTGGATATTTATCTCAAAATTTAAGTGATACATCTGAAAGAATAATATGTGATAGTTGGAATGAGCGATGTAATTCTAATGGAAAAATGGAAATTATAGAATTATCTACTTTAAAAAATACAAATTACTTATGTAAATATGAAGAACAATATTCTGAAATGTCAGAATTTGAAAAATACTTTTTACATACATTTGCTATAATTGTATATGAATGTGTAATAAAAGATAAAGTTAATCTTCTTCCTTTATGGGTTAATTTAATAAAAAGTATGGAAATCATAGAAAAAAAACCAAATAGTTTTTCTATATGGCAAATAAAACTTGTTTCATCTCAAATGTTAAAAAAATCTTACACAGAAAATAAAAATCCATTACTTGGTACAGAAAGCATACTTGCAATGAAACAAAGAATTTCATATATTATGGATAATTGGGAGCGCGGTATGTATCATAATTTTTTATATCAAATTCTAATTTTTTCTTTTAATAATCAATAATTCTTGCAGAATTAACACCACATATTAAATCTTACTTAAAAAATGGAAAAATTGATGGAAATATATCATTATTACAAAAAATGTGCACATATTTTGTGTTTTATGACATTCCATATAAAACGGATTATCAAACAATCTGTAAGCTCAATTATTTTATTTATTGATATATTTTTATATTTATTTGTTTTTTATTATTGTTACTTTAACTATAATTTATTTTTAGTGTCATCATTATTAAATACAGAGGTAAGGCTTAAAATATCTAATGTAACATTGTACAAATTATATAAAGTATTAAAATCAAATTAATTGTGTTATAATTATATGAATAATTTTATATAAAATGTTCAAAAAAAAAGATTATTGAATTAATTTAAATGAATTTGACAAAAAATATATAAACTTATAATTTTCATTAATCTATTTAAGCATAAAAGTTTTATTCAAAAGAAAATATTTTTTGTTTATAATATAATGCATAAATACACATGTAATGATATTTATAAACATAGTATATAAATGAATTGACAATATAATTAATAAAAAGTTAATTTATTATTTTATACATTATAATAAATATTATTTACAATATAAAATAATTTTGAAAATATCTTTATAGTTCTTTTATATATATATATATATATATA